CTTGGTAAAGCGCAGTATTAGGGTGGGAGTTACCAGATTTTCCAGGTGTTGTGTGTCTCAGTTTCTCTTGGCTAGGAAAAGGGATTCCCTTCCCCCTTGCGCTTCCCAGGTGAGGCGATGCCTCGCCCTACTTCAGCTGTCTCTGGTCAGGCTGCACCAGCTGACCAGCACCGATTGTCCGGCACTCCCCAGTGAGATGAACCTGGTACCTCAGTTGAAAATGCAGAAATCACCTGTCTTCTGTGTCACTTATGCTGGGGGCTGGAGGCTGGAGCTGTTTCTATTTGGCCATCCTGGGTGCACCTGCTTTTTTTTTTTTTTGAGACAGATTCACTGTGTTGCCCAGGCTGGAGTGCAGTGGCGCAATCTCCACTCACAGCAACCTCCAATTCCCAGGTTTAAAGCGATTCTTCTGCCTCAGCCTCCCGAGTAGCTGGAACTACAGGTGCTCACCACCATTCCTGGCTAATTTTTTGTATTTTTAGTAGAGATGGGGTTTCACTGTGTTAGCCAGGATGGTGTGGATCTCCTGACTTCCTGATCCACCCGCCTCAGCCTCCCAAAGTGCTGGGATTAAAGGCGTGAGCCACCATGCCCAGCTAATTTTTTTGTATTTTTAGTAGAGACAGGGTTTCACCATGCTGGCCAGGCTGGTCTTAAATTCATAACCTCAGGTGATCCACCTGCCTCAGCCTCCCAAAGAGCTAGGATTACAGACGTGAGCCACCGTGCCCGGGCTTTTTTAACTTTTTGACTCGCCTGTAATAACACTTAGATTAAATCACATGGCCAGGCTTGGTGTCTCATGCCTGTAATCCCAGCACTTTGGAAGACCGAGGCGGGCAGATCAGGAGGTCAGGAGACCGAGACCATCCTGGCTAAGATGGTACAACCCCGTCTCTACTAGAAATACAAAAATTGGCTGGGGGTGGTGGCTTGCACCTGTAGTCCCAGCTACTCGGGAGGCTGAGGCAGGAGAATAATTTGAACCCGGGAGGCAGAGGTTGCAGTGAGCTAAGATCATGCCACTGCACTCAAGCTTGGTGACAGAGTGAGACTCTGTCTCAAAAAGAAAGAAAAAAAGAAAAAAAGAAAAAAACCAACACACACACACACACACACACACACACACACAACTGGATGCAGTGGCTCACACCTGTAATCCCAGCACTTTGGGAAGCTGAGGCAGGCGGATTGCTTGAGTCCAGGAGTTCGAGACCACCCTGGGCAACATGGTGAAACCCTGTCTCTACTAAACATACAAAAAATTAGCTAGGCAGGGTGGTGCATGCCTGTAGTCCCAACTACTCGGCAGGCTGAGGTGGAAGAATCACCTGAGCCCAGGAAATTGAGGCTACAGTGAGGTGTGATGGCACCACATCTGCCTGGGCAACCAGAGTGAGATCCTGTCTCAAAACAAAACAAACTCCCCAAAAGAAAAAACAAACACACACACATTGTATCCCTGTACAAAAATATTTCCCTTCTTTATAGCCTTATTCTATATGCTATTTTCTATTTATTTACTTTATAAACTTGTTGCTAAAAAGTAAGACACAAACACACACATTAGCCTAGGCCAGCACAAGGTCAGGATCCTGAATGTCATCATCTTCCATCTCCACATGGTGTCCTGCAAGGTCTTCAGAGGCAATAACAGGCATGGAGCTGTCGTCTCCCACCATAACAATGCCTTTGGATACCTCCTGCAGGAGCTGCCTGAGGTTATTTTACAGTTAACTCTTTTTTTTTTATAAATAGAGGAACATATTCTAAAATAGTGGTAAAAAGTTTAATATACTAAATATATAAACCAGTAATAGTCATTAATGTTCAAGTATTATGTACTGCACATAACTGTATGTACTTTACTTTTATATGACTGGCAGTAGAGTAGGTTTGTTTACACCAATTTATCACCACAAACATATGAGTAAGCTGTTGTGCTCTGACATTACAATTGATGTCACTAGGCCTAAGAATTTTTCAGCTCCATTATAATCTTATGGAACAGTTGTACATGTGGTGCATCCATGACGTACAATAAACAAATATTTTCCAACTCATAAAACACAAGTAGAGGAAAAAGTTACTTATATTTTTAAATTTTTGAGACTATAGTGCACATTCATTATCCATTGTCCAAATGATAATCTGGTTAATCATATTAGTTTTAAAAGTTGTAGTACCAGTATTTTAGTGCCAAATGGCAGTTTCATAAAAATTTGTTCTTCTACTAAAAGTTATCTTATTACCACATTGGATTCATTGCATGTATGAAAACACTACACAATTACTATGAAAGAAATTTGGAAACATTATCACTTATCTTTTCTAACACAATAAGAGCTCCCCATTTTTCAGCATCTACTAGATGACAGGTATAAGCCAGGAACCACACATACATTCTTTCTAATCTTGGCAACAGCCCTGCAGTGACAGAGATCACCAGTCAGTCCCACTCCCACCCAACACCTACCCTCTCCTTCCTTACTAATTCCCTGAGTTTGGTTGGAAGTGGCCACATGTGCAGCCAAAAACTACATTTCCCAGCCTCCTGTGCAAATAGAATTGCCCATGTGATATAGTTGGCCAATCAGATCAATAATTGGCCACTTAGACACAGTTCTAGAAAAATCTCTCTTTTTTTTTTTTTGAGACAAAGTTTTGCTCTTGTTGCCCAGACTAGAGTGCAATGGCCCAGTCTCGGCTCACTGCAGCCACTGCGTCCTGGGTTCAAGTGATTCTCCTGCCTCAGCCTCCCAAGTAGCTGGGATTACAGGCATCCACTGCTACACCCGGCTAATTTTTGTATGTTTAGTAGAGATGAGGTTTTCACCATGTCGGTCAGGCTAGTCTCGAACTCCTGACCTCAGGCAATCCACCCGCCTTGGCCTCCCCAAAGTGCTGGGGTTACAGGCATGAGCCAGAAAATCTCTTTTTTAAGGAAGGCCAGCTCAGCTGGTATGCTTTCTTTTCCCCTTCCTATTACTTCTACCAAACCAAATCTACAATACTTGAGGTGAATTAGGTAATTATGAGTTGACAAGCACATATTGAGAATGACTGAACAAGAAAACTGAAAGCTTAATGTTCCTGATGACATTATGAAGTACACAGTGGACAGATGAGGCCTGGACTGACTACCTCAGACATATGTGATAAAAATAACACTTGTTTTTCAGGTGAACCCTTGTTATTCCCAGATGAATGCAACTCTCAATTGATTCATCTGCAAAGAAAATGTTGACTTTTAAATTAGTGTCTGACAAGAGATAACCCAGCTGGTAGAAAATAGAATAATTTGATACATAGATATCAGAAGAATTAATGATCTGATTTAAAAGTGTTTTGAGATCCTTGGATTTAAAGTGTTATATATCATGGAGAAGACATAATGTTAAGGGCTATATAAACATTTCCCTTAATTTTATTTCAATAAGTTTCTACCTTGGGCAAGTTTCTTTAACCCTAGTTCTCAGTTTACTCATTTTTAAAAAATTAGAGACAGATGGGGTCTTGCTATGTTGCCCAGGCTGGAGGGCAGTGGCTATTCACAGGTGCCATCCCACTACTGATCAGCATGGGAATTTTGACCTGCTCCATTTCCAGACTGGACCGTTTCACCCCTCCTTAGGAAACCTGGTGGTTCCCTGTCCCGAGAAGTTACCATATTAATGCCAAACAGTGCAGACACCTGCTTGGCATAGCACACTATAGCCCAGAACTCTTGTGCTCAAACAGTTCTCCTGTCTCAGCCACCTGAGTAGCTGAGACTAAAAGTGCACACCACTCTGCCTATCCATTTACTCATTTTTAATACTAGAGAAGTGCACTCAATTATTTCTAAGATTCCTTACAGAGAAGACTATTAACATGCTGTACACATTGGCTTATCATGAAAAAACAATGATGATGATAACCTAACCTGCTCCTAAATGCATAATTCCTCATAATCTTGTGAATACAAGTGAGCCACAAATGTTCATGACACAAACTTTAGGATGTAACAATCATATTCTCCCTAAGACTTAGAGGAACAGTTTAAGAAGATATGTAGTATTAGATGCAGTATTGAGGATTCACATGAAAGTGCTAAAAGAATGTGGACTTCAGTCTTTATTTTTGCTTTTCTAGATAGATTATGTTTTTATTAAAAGAATGATCAAAAGTACCATACAAAATACAACACAGGATATAGTGAAAGTTCCCTTATCCAACACTGGTATTGTGATTGGTGAAGGGAAAACGTCAATTTAAATAGAGATATTTAAAAATGATATATATATATCTTTAATTTTAAATTTTAACTTAAACTACAAATGTATTTCATTTGCCAGCAAAATATCTGTAGATTTCTACTCACTTTTTCGAGGCTTTTGCAGTTGTTTTGCTTACACTTAATTGGGCAGTAATTTCTTTAGTGACTGACTTTTGTTTCATATTTCACTGGTTTACATATTTAACTAATTAATTTCAATAACAAGTTTAATTGGTATAAGCAGGTTTGAGAAAAAGGCAACTGACTTCAGTAGCATGAAACTTGTAGTGGAAGCAGAGGTTCACAAATGTATCAGAGGGAATTCTACTAGTTTTGAGCTACAAGCATGTGTTAAAGAACAAGAGCCAGACATGATGATTTGTACCTGTAGTCCAATTACAAGGGACGCTGAGGCAGGAGAATCACTGGACCCCAGGAGTTCGAGGCTGCAGTGAGCTATGATCATGCCATTGCACCCAAGCCTGGGCGACAGAACAAGACCCTATCTCTAAAAAGAAAAAGTAAAAAAGGAACAAGAAGCATCAGTTAATCTGGCAAATTAAGTAGATGTAATGAGAGCTCCTAATGTGCCTATCATCAGTGACAGATATTGCATAATAGGATATTAAGCTATTTTATTCACACTTTTAGAACATGGGTCTTTGGAGATTAGTGAACTGAATATTAAAATGATATTCTCACTAACATCCCCTTTAACCTTCCCATTTTCCTGTGAGCAAATTCCTGCCTTACAAGATACTTTGTTGATGGTCTCCCTGACATTTTCCTTTATGCCTGTATCTCCCTTGAATCCCGGTTCCTATAGTCATCACAGGGTTGGGAGACCTGTCCCTAACCCCCAATTCCCACAGGTGGGCCAACAATAAGTACTGTCATACTTACCCAGCATCTTGCCTCTGAATTCAGATCCAGGTTCTATTTCCATTTTGCTTTGTGACCTTGGACTATGTTAATTAATATTGCTTAGTTTCCATTTCTTTTTCTGAAAAAGTAGGAACACTTAGCTTACAGGTGTGTTAGATTAAATGACCTTGGGGAAGCTCTTACACAAGTAGACAGTGAAGTGTCTGTTTTCTTTAATGCCATTTCCTTAATATCAGTAATATTTTGCCTTTGCCTATTACTTCCCATCACATTCCTGACACAGCGCTCTGAACCCTCACAGGCATGCTTGTTGAATCTCCTAGAGGTTGACCACCTGCTTGCCAGCGTGGCATCTCTGCCCATCAAGAATTCAGATGACTCGCTTGTCCATATTATTCCCATAGCTACCAAAGCAATCTCCCTGAAGAACTTGGCTGGGTTTTTAGTCTCACTGGTTAGTGTGGGCAGCTCTCCACTTCTTACAGCTCCATCTGCATACATCCTCTCCACCTCTGATTTCCTCTATAATTGTCATTCAACACATATTAAACATTTACTAAATACTGGTTATATTAGGGTTCTCCAGAGAAAAAAAAGCAATGAAAGATCTATCGATCGATCGATCTATCGATCGATCTATCTATCTATCTATCTATCTATCTATCTATCTATCTATAAATCATCCATCTGGAGGTTTATTATAAGGAATTGACTCACATGATTATGGAGACTAAATCCCAAGATTTGAAGTTGGAAAACTGGAGACCAGGAGAGTCAGTGGTATAGTTCTAGTCTTCCCCGAAGGCCTGAGAACCAGGACAGCGGATGGTAAAGTTGCAATCTGAAGGCAAGTGGGCTCAAGGCCTGAGAAGAGCCAGTATTACAGTTTGAGCCTGAAGTCAGAAAAACACCAATGTTCCAGCTCAAAGGCAGTCAGGCAGAAAGAACTCTCTCTTACTTAGCCTTTCTGTTCTATTTAGCCCTCAACTGATTGCATGAGGTCCACCCACATTAGGAATGGCAGTTTGCTTTACTTAGTCTACAGATTCAAATGTTAATCTCATCCAGAAACACCCTCATAGACACACCAAGAATAATGTTTGAGCAAATATCTGGGTATCCTGTGATCCAGTCAAGTCGACACATAAAATTAACCATCACACTGGGAATTGTGCTAGTTACTTTGCTCGTATTCTTGTCATTATTTCTGGTCTCAGAGAAGTCATTGCTCCATCTTTCACATCCTAATGGCCCCACCTATGAAGCTGACCCTGTTCTCTCCTGCTCCAGAGAGCTGCCATACCAATTATACCTTTCTCACAGCCTCAGTTTTTCCTTGCTCTTTTTCTACCTAAAAACATATTCAAGTTTTTCCTTCATATTTTCTTGTGCAAAAAGAGAAGTTATATATTCTCTGACTTCATTCACTAAAACTCCTAGTGATCTAATTTACCTTATTTCTTCTGTATCTATATTCCATTAAAAAGACTTATAAAAGTCAACAATGGCTTTCTCAATCTAACAGTCTTAGTCTTTGCTTCATTTGATGTTTTGGTAATTTTTTTTTAAAAACCTACTTGCTTTTCTAAGAGCAAAAGAGAAATTATTCTTTTCTCTTTGCTTTGACAAGTCAGGTCCCTTGTTCCATACCGTCTTCTCTGCTAATTTTTAAAGTTCCTCTTTCTTGTCCTTTTTCCTTGGGTAAACGTTCCTTATAGTATTTTGAACTCTTTTTTTTGGGGGGGGGCATTTATCAAATTCCACTCCATGTTTTAGTTATTTCAATAGTATAGGCTCAAAAGGGAATCACCTAGACTTTGGCTATCTCTATCAGAAAGATTTTCCTGGTTAAAATGTTGTAACATATACATGCAAGCTTTAAGTGAATGGTTCAGATCTCTAATAATTCTCTATGCAGGCTTATGTAATTTGCAAAGCTATTAAAAAATTCTAGCTGAAACAGTTTCTCTCAAAAACTTTTGTAAACTGTTTTTCCACGGAGAATACTGCATATATAAACTGACTTAACTTTGCAGGTGAACAATCTGGCCATATGTATAAAGAGCTCTAAAAACCCATTAATAAATTCCCATTCTTGACATTCATCCTAAGGAACTAATTGGAGATGCCTTAAGTCATCCCTGACTCCTTTCTCTCAAACCCCACACTAAGCCAATAAAAACCCATTTCTCACCACCTTTACTGTTATCCCCACTGTCCAAAAGCCAACATCATTGCCCACCTGGATTACAGCAATAACCTCCTGACTTTTCCGTTTCTACCCTCTATAGTCTACTCTCACAGAATAGCCAAAATGATCAGATAGCCCTCTGTGCACAACCCTCCAATGCTCTCCTATTTCTGGGCATAGAGGCCAAATTCCACTTAGCATCAGAAGGTCCTCTTGGACTTCTTCACCTCCTACAGCTTTCCTATGAACTCCGCGTCAGCTATTCTGGCCTCCTTGCTGCTGTTCCTTAAACATGCTAGATCCACTCCAAACTCAGGGTCTTTACATGCTTCTCTTTGCCTGGAATGTTTTTCTCCAATATCCACCTGGTTTGCTGCCTCACCACCTTCAGGTATTTGATCAAATGTCATTTTCTCTTTCTTTCCTGACCATCCTATTTAAAACTATAATCCCAAGGCCCCTATATCATCACTTCTTATTCCCCATCCCTGATTTAGTTTTCTCCAGAGTACTCATCACTATTTGATGTAATTTATAGTTTACGTCCTTATTGTCTCTCTTTCCTCCTCCCCATGAGGTCAGGGACTTTGGACTGTTTGTTCACTAATGTATCTCCAACATCCAAAGCAGTAAATAGTGTTCAAAGAATAGTAGTTGAATTATTACAAATATCTATGTATAGAGCTGTCCAATGCAATGTTATTTATAAAACTAAAACATTTAGAAATTAACAAAATGTCTTGTCATAAGAGGAAAATAAATCACAATATATCTATGGGATAAATTATGCACTTATGAAAAGTCATAATTTTACAAATTATTTAATGATATGAAAAATGCTCACCTTACGCTGTGGAAAAAACAGGAAAAAAAGAATATATAATAAAACCCCACTTTTATTTAAAACATAGAGGAGGGAATATATACAAAAATGTTATTAGTGGCTATATCTGGGTAGTGAGATTAGAAGTGATATTTGTTTTTCTCTCTTATATTTGTATTTGCAAATGCTTGACAATAAGTTCTTTTAAATTCAAAAAAGGCAGAAAATTGTAAAGCTTTGAGGAAAAAAATGTTTCCTCATTCATTTTCTTTTTAATCCCCTCTAATCTGAATGAATTTCTCACTCCAGTTAGAGATACAATTTGCACATATCTTTTGGCACTGATCATATTCTGCTAGTGTTTTGTATCTTTATTTCCTCTATTAGGCCATATACTTTCTGAAGGCAAAAACCATGTCTTATTTACAATTTTAGAGCCTATATAAAACCTATCTCTACATTCAATAATTAGCTGAAAGAAAATGTTTTAATAGCCAGGAATAATGTATAAATGTGTAGTATTAGTTGCTTAAGGAAGCCATCAAGTTATGTAATTTTCCTAAAATGATCTGATGTCCCTCTTGACCATTTGGAAATATTTAAGGTTTAAAGCTATATTATTAATAGAATGATGACTGCAGTATAAGCATTTTTAGGTTTTGGCCCATCTTCCTGTTGCCTTTATTTATATATATTTTATTATCTGTTGATACATTATATTAAAATTTTTGATTCTGTAGTAAATTTGGAAATGGTAGATTTCAGGACACATTATGTTGGTTAGGTTAAGTTATGTTAGTTAAGCTGGCATAACAAATAGACCATGGCACAAATGGATCCAAAACATAATGACTCACATACAACAGAAGTTTATTTCTTGCTTTAAGGGTGGATGTTCCTGGTTGGCTGACAGTTTTTCTCCACATATTTAGGGTCCCAGTGCCTTCTAATTTATGGCTTCCCAGGTTATACAGCATTGTCCACTGTATGCTATTTGTATTTACAAATCTCTGCTTCCAGCATGTTAGGTTGTAAGTGTAGTGAGGGCATAGAATTGCCAGACTCAGCAAATAAAAACACAGGAAGCCCAGTCAAATTTGAATTTCAGATTATCAACACATTTGGTATACATTTTAGTATAAGTATATTCCAAATATCACACAGTATGTTTAGTATAAGTATCACATAAACATATTTATGCTAAAAAATTATGTGTTTTTATCTGAAATACCAATTCAGTTGAGTCCTGTGTTTTCTCTGGTAACCCTATGAGAGTGGTGATTCCATCTATCTCAGTTACGACTGAATCCCCAGAATCTAAAACAGTACCTGACTACTATAAATAAGATCAAGAAGTATCTCAATAACATTTAATGAATAATTGATTTTCTGTCAATCAGAACCCTTATTAGCAAAGAATACTGATTAATACTAATTAATACTAATATTGCTATTAATAAGGATTTGTATTAAGCATTAGTGAGGGATACATATTAATACTTGTTATTAATAAGAATACTTATTAAGTATCAGCAAAGAATATTTACCAACAGATAATAATTTAATATCAGCATAGCAAACTGCAAATGTTTAACTAAAGTTCATGTCTTAGTCAGTTTAGGCTGCAATTACAAAATACCATAAAACTGGCGGGCACAGTGGCTCACGCCAGTAATCCTAGCACTTTGGGAGGTCGAGGCGGGTGGATCACTTGAGGTCAGGAGTTCGAAATCAGCCTGGCCAACATGGTGAAACCCCGTCTTTACTAAAAATATGAGAAAATTAGCTGGGCGTCATGGCAGGCACCTGTAATTCCAGCTACTTGGGAGGCTGAGGCAAGAGAACTGCTTGAACCTGGGAGGTGGAGGTTGCAGTGAGCCAAGATTGTGCCACTGCACTCTGGCCTGGACGACAGAGCGAGACTCTGCCGAAAACAAAACAAAACAAAACAAAACGAACAAACCATAAACCAGATTGTTTATAAAAACAAATTTATCATACTTGTGGAGACTAGGAAGTCCAAGATCAAGGTGCCGGCAGATTTACTGTCTGGTGAGGACCTGGTTTGTAGATGGTGCCTTCTTGCTCTGTCCTCACGTGAGATGAATGAGCTCCCCCAGGCCTCTTTTATAAAGGCACTAATCTCATTCATGAGGTCTCTGCCTAATCACCTCCCAAAAGTCTTGCCTCTTAATATCATCACCTTGGGGGTCAGGATTTGAACATATGAATTTTGATGGGACACAAACATTCAGACTACAGCACTTCAGTAAAATAAATAGATAAAATTGGGTTTTCCTTAGGTATCTGCACAGCTCTGTCCAGTCTCTACTGAAACATCACTGACACCCTCAGTGACACCTTTCCCTGTTCTCCAAGTCTTAAACTCCAAACCTCCTCCTTCTGCAGCACTTCATTTCCTTTCCCTGCTTTATTCTTCCTTTTTAACACTTAATGTGAATATACCACATATTATACTTATTTGTCTATCTTTCTCACCAGAATGTAGACTTCATAAGGACAGGCATTATTTCCCGTTTTATTCATTGCTACATTCCCAGCTCCTACACATAGGAGACAGTCAATAAATATTTGTTAAGCAAATGACTGAATAAACACCATTTGTCCTTTAGAAATGAGTTATACATCTTATTAGAATATAGTTATCAGTAGCTTGATGATATTCACCTTACATGACACAAGATGACTTTAATCACACAATATCATGATTCTGCTTGCATCAACTCAGTTCACCAAGTCCTGTCCATTCTATCATCACAATGTCTTTGATAATCCTCTTCTCACCTTCCCTGTTGCCACTTCCTAAGTGCTTTAATGTGTTCTGTGGATTAATGCAGAAATTGTCAACTGGGCGCAGGGGCTCATGGCTGTAATCCCAGCACTTTGAGAGGCTGAGGGTGGGTCTCTCGAGTCAAGGAGTTTGAGACCAGCCTGGGCAACATGGCAAAACCCTGGCTCTACTAAAAACACAAAAATTAGCTGAGTGTGGTGGTGCATGCCTGTAATCCCAGCTACTTGGAAGGCTGAGGCACGAGAATTGCTTGAACCTGAGAGGCGGAGGTTGTAGTGAGCAGAGATTGTGCCACTGCACTCCAGGCTAGGCTAGAGTGAGATTCCACCTAAAAAAAAAAAAAAAAAAGAAATTGTCTAACTAGTCTCCTTACCCATTGTCTTCTCATTCTAATTCATTCTCCAAATCACTACTGAATTTATCTTTCTAAAATAAGAATCTGATTATTGGGTGTGTTTTGCATTGCTATAAAAGAATACCCAAGGCTGGGTAATTTATAAAGAAAAAAGGTTTACACCAGGCACTGTGGCTCACGCCTATAATCCCAGCACTTTGGGAGGCTGAGGTAGGCAGATCACCAGAGGTCAGGAGTTCGAAACCAGCCCGGCCAACACAGTGAAACCCCATCTCTACTAAAAATACAAAATTAGCTGGGCGTGGTGGCAGATGCCCATAATCTCAGCTACCTGGGAGGCTGAGGCAGGAGAATCACTTGAACCTGGGAGGCAGAGGTTGCAATGAGCCAAGATAATGCCATTGCACTTCAGCCTGGGTGACAGAGCAAGACTCTAAATCAAAAAAAAAAAAGAAAAGAGGTTTATTTGGTGCATGGTTCTGCAGGCTGTACAAGATGCATGCATGGCATGAGCCTCTGATTTTTTTTTTCTTTTCTATTAATCATGCCACATTTTTAATTACGTACAAAGATCTAACAAGTCACCCTGGGACCAATTCACCCACTGCTCTGTTTGGCAGTCTTTTGTCTCTCTCTTCAGCAATGGTGAGGCGGATACCCTTTCCTCAGGGAAGAGAAATCCATAGTTTGGCACCCTTGCCAATAACAAAAATCTTGGAAAGTCAAGTGGTAAAGCTGTTGCCATTGGTATCTTTCATGTGAACCATGTCAAAAGATCCAGGGTGCCTCTCTCTGTTGGTGATCACACTAATTCTTCCCAGGTTAGCATCGCCAGTCACCATACACAGGTGACCAGTGTCAAATTTGATGAAATCAGTAATCTTGCCAGTCTCCAAATCAATCTGAATGGTATCATTCACCTTGATGAGAGGATCAGGGTGGCGGATGGTGTGACCATCATGAGTCACCAGATGAGGGATTCCTTTTGTGCCCACAAAGATTTTTCTCACTTTGCACAACTTGTACTTGGCCTCCTCAGGTGTAATATGATGTACAGCAAAGCGACTCTTGGTGTCATAGATCAGACGGAAATCCTCTTCTGTCTTGTCAATGCTAATGACATCCGTGAATCCAGCAGGGTAGGTTATATCAGTCCAGACCTTGCCTTCAATTTTAATAAACCACTGCATGCAAATTTTACTTCATCTCCTGTCAGGGCATACTTAAGTCTGTTCCTTAGGAAAATGATGAGGGGGAGACACTCTCTCAACTTGTGGGGACCGGTGGATGGACAAGGAACAAACATACTGGTCAATTTATCCAGCATCCAATGCTTTGGAGTTGCTACCCGCTTCAGATGCTTCTTGGGACCACAAGCCACAGCTGCGTTAGGCAAGGAAAGAGTGAGCCGCTGCTTTTGGAAGCTTCCAATGATGATGGAAAGGGAAGGAGAGTGGTGTGTCACATGACGAGAGAGGAAGCAAGAGGGAAATGGGAGAAAAGTCCCAGGCTCTTTTTAACAACCAGATCTTGCAGAAACAAAGAGTGAGAATTCACTCAATCCTCAGACAATAGCACCGAGCCATTCATGAGGGACTTGTCCCCATGATCCAATCACCTCCACCAGACCCCACCATCAATACTGGGGATTAGATTTCACATGAGATTTGACATAGCCAAATTATATCATCAGGGTCACTCCCTGATCCCAAAACTTTTATCACCCCAATAATAAGATTCAAAATTTCTTAGTTGAGCACATGAAACCCTTCTTGACATGGCCCAGCA